CCCACACACACACACACACCCTCATCCCCAGTTCACCTGACCGTCCTTCAGCCTTTCAGGACAATTTACTGCCCTCACTACCTCTTTTGCGTCTGAGTCTTGTCTAATATACTTAACTTTCGCCTGCATTCCATGACTGTACCACAGATCCTTTCAACATCTCAAAAGCTTTTTAAGAGCTTTTTGTTGTCATTTTTATTGTTGTTAAAAGTCAAAGGGGTAAGAGTTAAGAACCAGTGACGTATTTTGTTATTAGGGAGACTCATGATCACTGCAGTTTGTCACCAGTTGAGCTGTCTGAAAAGTTTGGTCCCACAACAGTCCTTTGACTTGTATCTCAAGCCTCCCGCCACCGGAGGGCAGTGCAGGCACACGAGTAGGCCGGTGCTTGTGAAGGAGAAGGGCCGGCGGGAGGGTTTGGTTGTGGCCAGCACAGCCTCTAGTGTAGACACCAACTGGATCTGCAAGAGGAGACTGTCAGCAGATTCTCGGGCACACCAAGAAGCATCCGTTCTATCGGAAGTGAAAAGAAAATGACTGTGTTCCTAGAAACCACCTATTTGATTCACAGTTTCTCGTTTAAAACATTATTTCTCAGCAATAAAGTAGTTCCTGCCACCAAACCCCCCTGACGATGCCTGAAACCTCTAGACAGCTGGCACACAACACCTACACAAAGACACGGAGACGTGGGGAGAAGAGAGAAGCAGGCAGACTCTGGAGGGGCCTGGGCAGGGAGGAAGGGGAGACGCCTGGTGAAGGTCCCATTTTCATGACCTTTACCCTGAGGTCCGACCCCAACCTGTGCCACGTGGACACCGGAAGCGCAGACGGTAAACCTCATTTTTCCGGCCAAAAGAAGCCGAGGACAGAGCTCAGCACAAATGCAGTAACTAGAAAACGAGGGGGAATGTGGCAAGAAAAAGAGCCAGAGAAAGAGAAAAGCAGCTTCTGTGTGTGAAGCCTAACCTCCAGCTGCCCTCTAAACGGTGCTTACACGAGGCAAGGCTGAGCCCTGGCCCGCCCCCAAGGTCCCCGCTGCCTGATGGGCCTCTGTGCCGGGAGATGCGCCCCGGGCAAGCCTGACTGGGCCCCGGCTGCTATCTAATGCCGCAAGCTTGTTTGCGGCCTCCCTGAGCTCCAGTGTGTTCTGCCAGGCTCTGGAGGGAACCGCACCCCTCTCCTGGGTGGTTTTGAGGGTTAACAGACCCAATGTGTATAAAGTGCCCACACCTGGGAACTAAGTACATGATCAGTCCTCTCTCCACATCTCTTCTGTGGTTGGCCTGGAATCTTGTGACCAATTCTCAATTCCTGAGATAAAATCTAGTGGCAAACCTCCCAGTCATCTTGCGACTCTGGTCCTGAACTTTAATAAGCAGCCAAGTGAGCTTCTCACACACTCTGGTTGCCTGTCCCCATTTTTAAATCCAGGCTTGAAGAGTAGTCGGCCTCATTTTTGCAGTGAGCACTAGCTTGCCAGACTTCTCAAAAGAAGCGCCCTGACGGCTGTGTCCTATAAACAACCAGGACAGTTGTCGACTTCCAGAGAATATTTCAGAATCGCTTGCCTGTCTAACCATCGGCCTCTCGGACGC